ACATGGGAGGCCTTCAAAAAAAAGTTATGTCTAAAGAACAAAATACGAAACAAAGGCTAAACGTTTACTATCATAAAACCAAAATTAGAAAAAATGTTTTATTGCATAATTAAATGCTGTTTACTTTAATGTGTCGTCAGCAGAATTCTAGGAATTAAATTTATGATGACGCTGTAAAAAACTTTTATTTTAATTATATCAAAATACGAACTTTAAGTTATCACGCGTAAAGATAATGTTTAGTACAATGCAAGATTAGGATATTTAAAGGAACTCCGAACGTAATAATTAACCCTTTAAATTTCAAGAAATGTATCAAACGATTCACAACAGAAACCTTTAGACATCAATCAGAAGAAACATTTTAAGTAGAAAACCGTCGTTTTTAGTGTTCTTAGTTTTGCAACAGGGTTACCAACAAAGGATGAGACTGAAGAGAAGACTGCGCCGACTTGCTTAATTATTTTGGTTCATAGAGTTTTCTTTCTTTAAGTAATACGATTTTAGCCAGAAAACTCTGGAATAGGAAGACGACATTTAGACTAAAGTTGTGACTTTAAATAGTATAATAAACACAATACACAATAATTTCACCTAATAATGATGGTTAAACTATTTGCTTTGTAACAACATCAAATATGCACTTCTGTATTGCTTCAATGTCGTCTTCCTATTTTATATTATTAAAGCTAGATAAAAGGTGAAAGGACAAATTCAACCTGCATATCGTTATTTTTAATGAGCTATAGGTTTTAAGCAGTGGCGCAACTGGGGGGGGGGAGCATATTTCGCCCCCCTTCCCCCCCCCCATCACTTGGCTCCAGCATGGTCAGGATTGTGGACCGTCTTTTATCAAATTTTGTCAATTAAGAAAAGAATGATAAAATTTTTCTAATAGAATTTCTTACTATTTTCTCGTTTCCGACTTAAAGAAAGCCAGTCTTTCTTAATTTATCCTCTCAAAAAATCCTGTTTAATGTTACACAAAACCTGACAACCTAAAGAAGAATAACAAGATATTTAATAAGGATTATATCGGACTATTAGGACTTTTGCAGACTAGAAGGAGAACAGGGATAATGCCCCTTACTGGAAAACAATGACAGAGGGACTTTGATCTTAAAGACTAATATGGATTATGGACAAACGAAATATAGTCAAGTACTGCAGGAACTACTTACTACTTAGGACTGCACAGACCTACGATTAAGGGACTAGATAGTGAACAAATATATGACTGGTGGATGAATTTAAAAAAAAGAATTTTAAAGTTGTTGGAAGTATAGGTTTTGTAAAAACAAGCACAATTGTCATGGATATTTTAAGAATTTGATATATAATTAAGCACAACGCCAACCCTTCAACAATTAAAAGATGCTGTTTTTTACTTCAAATCCTGAAAATAGTGGTGTTTCAAAAATATTAGTAAATCCGCAAACTTTTTTGTTATTGCTTTATCCTGTACGAAGAGAAGATGTTCACCGAGAAATTTTGTCTACATGAGTCTAGACTCAAGTAGAAAAAATGTCTGTGGAAGTATTTTCAGTGCCATGGAATAGTCCGCATAATTTTAAAAATAAATGTCAAAAGAAGATAGAAGTATAGAAGTTATGTAAAATTTGTATTTATTTTTACACTGCAATTCAGTTTCTTTATAAAAAATGTTTTGTCCTAAATCTAGTGTAGATACATGTTTTGTCCTAAATCTAGTGTAGTGCATGTTTTGTCCTAAATCTAGTGTATGTACATGTTTTGTCCTAAATCTAGTGTAGATACATGTTTTGTCCTAAATCTAGTGTAGATACATGTTTTGAATTTCTAGTTTTAACAGTCAAAGACTTTGTTAATTAAAAAGACGAGGCGTTGGAAATTTATCCGACTATTGTACAGCTGTATTTTGACGTCATTGGTTATTTTGGTTGTTTGAGAGTCTAACGATCGACATTAAAACCTATATAGATATTCAACATAATTGTGAATGTTTTGTGATAAAATTTAACTAAAATTAATGATATTAATTTGTATTTTAAAATTTATTTAATCATTTGTAGGATATAAGGATCGTCTGGTGAATTATAGCTGAATTAGTGATAAAGTTACGCATCTCTTATGTATTAAAAATAGCCAATAATTGTAAGTGAAAATTTTCAGATGTCGTCAAATATTTTTCCTGCGGGTCTATGGAATGGAATTTTAGGCGATGAAAAAGAGAGGGAACCAGAAATTTCCAATATTATAAACAGTAAATAAATATTGTGTAAATGTCGTCTTCTGTTTAATCTTAGGCAAAGAAATAATATCGCTTAATATAACTTAATGTACAGGGTGTCCCAAAAACATGGGAATTCAGTGACGAATTCGATATCGTCTTTGTTATGAATTAGCATTGTAATACCTAATTTCAAAAGCCATAATATTATTATGTCTGCTAGAGTTTTTTTAATGAAAAGGGTAAAAGACTGCAAGGATGTGTATATGATGGCTCCGCAAGATGAACAGTAGATACGGGCAAGTTTACTCTGTATACTGTAATTTTCTTGTTTTACTAAGTAATCCGACGTTGCAGTCAAAACATAAACAAACAAAATGTAAACATAGCAGACGAAACTCTTACAGATTACAGCTTTCTCAGTAGGTATCACTATACTAAATACAAAAGAATTATTTGAAAAGACGATATCGAATTCGTCACTGAATTCCCATGTTTTTTGGGACACCCTGTATTTATCTTACTCTTCACTTGATTTATAAGGATTTTGTTTCAAAATATCCACCATTAAAGAAAAAAATATCACGAAAAGTTTCGTTAAAAATGCGAATTAATGGACGACCTTTACTTAGTTTTTTAAAGTTGATTACAAAAGGTTTGATGCATGAATTATTGGAGGATTTTAAAAAGATGGATTAAAGAAATACTGGTGAAAATAAAACTGGGGAATATAAAGACGACTTTTGGACTCAAGTTCTGATTAAATAGTTGAACATAAAATACCGCAATTGAGCAGTGAACATGGAGATTGTCTAAATTTCGTCTTCAAATTCCGGAGTTTTATGTATACAAGTTCAATGAATAATTCTGATAAATTCAGGTTCCTCGGTGCCACTGCCAACTGCCAAGCCAACCAAGAATAGGAGAGTCTGCGTTTACAATACCAGCAGATCCAAAAAGAAAAAAAGTTTGGACGAAGGCTCTTTAATTGGATCGCATGAATTGCACACGCTGAAAGATCCCGATTTTGTAAAAAACTATTACATTGGTAAATAAATATTGTGACGTTGGATTTTTCAACAATTCATTTAAATCAGGTTAGGAGAGAATTCAATCTTGAATGAAAAAGTAAAGAGATAATTGATTACTGTTAATTAATTTTCTTCTTATAAAAACTTAAAATATACTTCAAACCAAAAGTAAATGTTCAAAGGACTGATAGATGTAATTTAAGTTACCAACCCATAAAAGGTCCTGTCAACAACGGTACCAAATAAACATTTGTCCGGGTAACAATGAGGAAGACATCGTCGTTATCTCAACTTAAAAAGTGATGAATTCTGTAAATTATGTTCATTGTCTTTTCAATTGTCACTTTTATGTACTATGGACAAATTGAACATTTTAAGACAAAAAAAAACTATAGTTGTTTCCATATTTTGTTTTTTTAATAACTATTTAATTCATTACAAGTACAAAAGACGACAATATAACGTCAACAGGGTAAATATACACAGGATTTCTGGAGAAGACGACATTAGTAACTATCTATCTCTACCCCAGATAATGCGTCAAATTTGCGTTGATTTTCGGATGCGCTATCTTTAATTAGCATAGTCTTTGAAACTAGTATTAAATCCTTATAGCTCAAGATAAAGAAGTACCTTTATTCCCCCCTTTTAATTTCATATCCTTCCGACTCGATCAAAACATCCCTCCCCCTCCACCCCATTTTATATCGATTTACAATGTTTTCAAATCTAATCAGTTGGTTGACCAGTGTCTCCCCAATCCATAGGTAAATATTTAAATTGTTACAAATTGTATACTTGTTTTTTCCTTGAATGATTCTGTACTATGTTTTTTGTTTTTGTTTTAGTACTGATGAGGACATCATAGAAATGTCGAAATAGATGTACTGAAAAAGAGGTCTCCATCGTTTATTTCTAATCTGGTTTGGTTCAACCACATCAAATACTTTTTGTGTTTGTACAAAATCTAGGGCTTTAAATGAGTATCAACGACAATTTCTTTTTAAAACTATTCTAAACTACGATTGGAAACAATCTTCACAGGGTGCAAGTCCAGTACAGAGAAACCTGATATATAATCCCCTAGCTACCTTCCAAGCATTGAAACACAGTACAGTGAATATTAGAGACTGGTAAGTAGATAAAGATCCTGACTGTGAGGAAAACGAGCAGATTGTACATGAAGAATCAGTAAATAAGGTGTGGAACCTGTTTGTCTACCAACAAGATCAGCTTTGAAAATATTGGATACATCTGATTATGACAATAGCATTGAAGGAAGTGTTATATTTCTGCAAATCAATTCAAATAAAAAATCTAAATCTTTTAAATTAATTTTCCTTTAGGTAAATATGAAAAAAAACCTCTATTTAAGGTGTTAGAGCTCACGTGGTTGGTTGGGGGCGAAGTGTTCCAAAAGAAGAATACTTCGGGCCAACAAAGAATATGGCTGCTAGAAACTGTGTGACTTCAAATGACTTCGATTCTTTCTCAAGCTGAATGCCAGAAAACTTGGAGAAACATAACCTATCTGTGCTGGAGGGGAGCAAGGAAACAATTCCAGTAATGGTGAAGCGGGGGGTCCACTGCTTTGGACCCAGTGATTGTGGGAACAGTAAAACCAGAGTTTACTCAAGAGTTTCAGAGTACATTGATTAGATTAAACAAAAGATTGGAAATGATTCAAATACATGAACTTCAAAAATAAAGAATGTGCTAATTATTTTTGGGAAAGCTCTGGCTATAAAAGAATAATTCGATTCACAGTTTTTAAAGTATATTGTACTATCAATGCTTCTATTCAAGTAAATAGGCTTTCAGGGAGCTTCGCATCCACCAAGTTCAGATATTAACTAAACTATTTCTTCTTAAATCTTAAAACTAATAATTTTCTAAATGAACAGGGTCAACTTTAATATTTTCTAAAACATTCTGCTTATGAAGCAAATGTCAATGTTGAATATAAACATTAAACAAAAGTGTGACAGACATTCATAACATACATCACAATTTTTATATTAGGATCAAATTTAAATATGAATTAATATATTCAAAAAAAATGCTATGTTACAATAAAAAGGATATAATTATTATAGTTAGAATACACAAAATCACAAAGGTGAACTAGTGTGGGGGGGGGGGGGGAAGGAAAAGTACATTTCTTAAATTGTGTAAACATAAAAATGGTGAAAAATAAACCAAAATAAAAAATCTATTTTTTTAAATGCAAATTTACTTTGTAACCTAAATTGAGCAGTAATGTTAAAATACTAGGTTAATACTATGACTACACATACAGGCGAGTATTAAATACTATATAGTAAAAAGAGATTAAGTTTACAGAAAGAATGTGAAATATTTATAGCTAGATTGACTTGAATAGTACTAATGGGGTATATGTTTTCAATATTAAGCTTTGGGGAAAAAATAATCGATACACGATACAAATTTCCCCCCGAAATTTTAACTTTTTTTAGTGCTTCGCGCGAACCTTTCTTAAACGAAATTATTCACTGTTTTGGAAATAAATACCTCTAGTATTACTTTACATAGACTAAGCTTAAACCGGGAAATGAGTTTTACTGAAAATGAGTTTTAAATGTTAATAATATTTGTTGTACGATTCCAACTGAAAAAAATCTTTCCTTGTGTATACGGCAATACCCAGTATCAAAATAAAAAATTACGGTTTCTAAAAAATAGCAATAAAATGGCAGTTTTAATGACGCAATCTATTTTGAGGTTGGCATCGTACAACGATCTTATCTCATAAAGAAGACCTGTCATTTTTTATTTGTCCATATATTTTCATGCTTAACCCTAGTCCTGCTGGGGAGGGTTGGGTCAAGTTGACCCACTGTAGTTTTTTTAACATAACTAAAAAGTATTGGTCTGAGGCTGTTGAAATTTTCTGACTTTTCCTAAACACCCATAGCCCTCTCTTTAGGTCTAAAACCGGACCATTATACTAACTGCCTGAGTCCTTAGGTACAGCGTACACTGCCTGAATGACTTTTTCCTATAAACAAACTAACTCTTTATTTTAACCCTTTTTCAGTCAGATTTTGATAATTTTTAACTTTTTCGAAAGTCTATGACAAAGAAACAGATTGAACAAGTTTTGCAAAGAAATTTTTGCAAATTATTGACCCCCCCCCGCGTATCCTGGTTTTTAAGTACCCCAGCAGGGATAGGGTTAAGTCACACCCATGATAGTAAAAAAGGAGAATTATTTGAACTTAGGTCCATTGACATTTTTACGAATCGTTGATTTATAATGGTTCTTTTAATTTCCGATTTTCTTCCCAATAAATGAGTCACATTAAAAAATCTAAAATCTAAATGGGGTTTAAAAAGTCCATTTAAACCGTTCTAGGCGTTATTAACATTTTTAAATGTATGTACGAGGTACTAAAATATGAAAATAATACACAAATGCAATACAATTAATTTAAAAAGTTTTTGTAGGTATTGACATTGTCATTGCCATTAGATAGGCTACATACATTGCCATTGCCATTGGATTGGTTGAAAACGAAGACATTATAATTGGCTGCAGATATTGCCGTTGCCATTGGTTGTAGACATTGTTGTTGCCATTGGTTGTAGAATTTGTCATTATTTTTAGAAATCTTTTTTACATGTAGACATTGTCAGTATTATTAGTTATAGAAATTGACATTGTCACGGTTAACTGTTGTAAATATGACATTGTCATTGGCAGTTGACATTTTGACAAAGTTTAGTGCAGCCGACTTACCAATGAATGGAAAAATGTACACGAGTCTTGACCCTTTTTAACTTTAGTACTGAAAAATGCGCGAACAATGTGAGAAGTTTAAAAATTATGCTGAAGAATGTAGATTCATTTAGGACCCAGGTCACTTACAGGAATTCTATAAAGAATATTCATTAAAATACTTTTTTATTTCAAAATTAAGATGAGATTTAAAAAGCTAAAAAAGAGTGTAATCATGAAAATCTGATTTTGGCAAGTGTGTGCTTCAGCGAAAATGCGCAAAATTCTTTTGGCACATGTACTAATAGTTATTGCAACAGTACGGAGGACAAAACAAGTGAAAGATTTTATCATTTTAGTATGACAAAGTTTTAAAAGATTTAAAGAATCATCAGTCATGATAGTAACTTTAATAACCATTTCTGAAAATTTACAGGACCGAGGACTTTATTTAAAACAATTAAGAGATTTCCACGGCATTTGTTCGATTCAAGATAAAACAATTAACCATTTATTATTGAAAAACAATGTCTGTAAAGTTGTTAACTATGCACAGTGCACAGCTTACAGTGGATAGCGTAAAGTGTACAGTGTACAGTGTACAAAAATCAGATTTATTTGGACTTGTACCTAAACTGTGACGGGGCCCCCACGCCGTCATCCCCACTTTGCTTTCTGTGCAAATATATCTGCACGCAGGTTCTGGGCAAAACAAATCCCCAGAATCTAGATAAACAAAAATTATTATTTTAATTTTAGTTAAACCAATGTTTTTATGTGATATTTTCCTTAAACTACCATTAGTAATTACATGTGAAGGAGGAATTTCGTGAACAAATTTTTTCCCATTAGAGAATTTTATAGGAGCAAATTTTAAAGAAATAATAATGAAAATAATAAAATTAATTACAACAAAAACCAAAAACGTGCTTTGAGTCTAAAGTTGAAATGATTAATAATTAAAACGCCTTTATATTAAAAATTTCTAAAAAGCTTTTGTGATGCAAATTCTTTAACGCTTCGTTAACTGTTTAAGAAAAGACTCGTCAGATAAAAAAAATAAAAAAATATAAAAAAGAACATAAAACGTACACTCCAACCACTACTAATATTTATAACGCCAGGGTAAAATATTACATGATTTTCCAAACTTTGCGCCAAAATGAAAAAAGGAAAAAACCTTTTTTATTATTATGTCTGCTAGAGTTTTTTTAATGAAAAGGGTAAAAGACTGCAAGGATGTGTATATGATGGCTCCGCAAGATGAACAGTAGATACATATCCCATTCTATTTTTACAGAAATGTACATAATATAAATCGATACCTCACCTCTTTCCAAATATATTTTTTAAATTTGTTTCTTAATTCAAATAATATTTTTATTTTTATTTCTCCTTTCGCTTTGACTTATTTTTTACGTTTTTTCATTTGAAATTGTTTTTATCGCAACATTTATTTAAATTCTAATTATAATCCAGTTGACTATATGAGTATCGTGTATACCTGAAGAAAAGCGACGCCGACGGCTACACCTGCAACGGTGAGCAGGTTGTTCTCCAACCATTCCTCGCCGGCCATCAAACAACCTTTCTCGTTGATTATCTTTTGGACCTCTTCACTCTACCAAAACAAAAAACATGCCAAACTACAAAAAAAAACACAAAAAAAGACAAAACTCCTCTACCATGCCTGAAAAATAAAATCAAAACTAACCTAAAAAATGAAAGTAAATAAAAACATGCAAAAATCCGGGAACTACTCTAACTAAAACAAAAACATAAAAATCCGCGGAACTGAGATCAGCTGAACTACCTGCAGTACACTTACTGCCACGGTAACAGCTGCCACGGGAACTAAGTTACGTTCAACCCATTCCTCGCCAGCACGCAGGCAGCCACCATCATAGATTACAAGACTGTAATCTCCAGACTGAACGAGAATTTTAATTTAACACAACAAAAAACATGAATCAGGTTTAGATTTCCCCACACTAAGATCAGCACGTTTTCGTTAGTTATTTATTAATTAGAGAAAATGTGACTCGATAAATATCTAAAAATTAAAAATTAATGTCACCTCCAGACTGAAGGATAATTGTTATTTTTTCTTTAAACAAATTTATGAATTAGGAATTTTCCTTTGAGAGTTTGTAAATAAATCACGTGTTTAGTGAACATGGGCGTACAAAGGTATTTTTCCAGCACCTGTTAGGACCTTATAACGTTCAGGAAACCATATATTTTAATGATCCAAGGGGAGGGGGGCTTTGTAAGCCGTTGTTTGAGAATTATTTAACTGAGCGACATGAGTCAAAAACAATCTGATCATAAAACTTCATCTCGAAAAATATCTAATCATAAAAAAATGTGCGTCATCTACCGACAGGAGAGTTTTCCTCCCAGAATTTGCATTATTTTCGTAATTAACCATGAGGACATGTGACGGAGAATATTTAACCTTAAAAAAAATAACTTCATCTGACTTGACGAGAATTGCGATTTATATATTGAAAAAAATTATACATCAGGTTCTGCTTTTCGAACCGTGTCCACAGGAATGATCAAAATGATGACATGGGACAAAAAAGATGTAAAAATTAAAAGTGTAAAACTGTCTAATGAGAATTGTAATTTATTTTAATTAATATTGGCTTGAATTATCTAAACGGGGATATGTATTTTCAAGTGACCTTCCCTTGAAAGAGGGGCATCCACGATTCACAACTGTATTCTGTGCACTTGAAACCGCTGTCTGATCAAGTATGAATTAGATATTCATGTATTTGATTCTTTTTACTGTTTATTTTCATTTGCGGGTTTTCTGTAAACGTGACTTTCCGAGTGAGAAAAACGACAATATCTTCCATATTTTTGATCAGATTAGGCTTCAAGGGTTTAGGGTACCGTTGTAAATTAGGCATTGTCATCTTTGACTAAAAGGTCAGATGAAAATACGCTTACAGTCCCTATACATTCGTAAACTTTGTTGCACCATTTCTCTTCAACTTGTACCGGCGAACATAAGAACTGGTTCAACTACATGTACAGTGATAACCGTAAGACTCTGGAAAAGGGAAGACGACTTTAGACTCAAGTTGAAAGAATGAACATGAAACACAGCAAATGTGAAGTGTAAAGAGACAAATTCCCTCTTAATGTCGTCTTCCTATTCCATAGTTTTCTTGATCTCAATGTACAAAGCTGAACTACTTCTTGATATTCACTAAATCTGGACTCCAGGTGCAACTTTCCCCCACAGAGTTTAAAATAAATAACATCTAAAGGTTTAAGATAATTTGAATCAAGTAAACTTACATAATCTGGTTTTCTGACATCATACCCACATTGTTTGTTTTTAATCAGTTCCTCGTCCTTTGGTTTACAGCAGCTGAAGGGGACCCCACATGCCTCTCTATAAACAAGATTAAAGTTCAATTGTATTTTTTCTTGAAAAATGACCCCCCCCCCCCCCTCCCCGAAGTTAGGGATTGTTTTCTGAATTGGAGAAAATAAATGAGTTTTATGGTGAAATAAATAATTTATTTTTGATGATAGAATTAAAAAGGATGAAAAACTTGCCTTTTGAAGTACCCTTTTTAACCCCCCCCCCCCCACAGCATAAAGTAATTAAACCCTGAGAAGAAAATTCATGAGCAAAAAAATTATTTTTGAGAAAGTTCAATAAATAAATAAAAAAGGTAACCTCGAACCAACCGCAGCACTTGAGCAGTTGAAGTAAATATTTTTATCCCAATCCTGAAATAATTCATATTGACGACGACTTTCTGTACTAGCGCTGGTTTGAGTTTTCTCTCTCTCTCTCTCTGTACTGTACTGCTGTCACTGCTGACGTGCCCGTGGTTTCAGTTGGGGGTTTTGGCGGGCGCACCCCTTCCCTAGTTTCTTATAAAATTTTGATGATTTGGTTAAATAAAGGCCTTATCTTTAAAAAAAAAAGTTATCAAGATTTAAACCAATCTTTATCTGTTGTTAAATTTATTGCATTTATTGATTTCCGTTCGTTTCTGCGCGCATTCTTGTTTCTTGAGTTTATTTATCTTAAGCTGTAAGCATAATATAAAGTTACCCTACATGCAAAGATGACAATACCACGGTACCCTTGAAACCTTAATCTGATCAATAATGTGTACTTTTGCCAACTCGAATTTATAATTTCTACTAGTTTCTCCATTACATCTTATAAACAAGAAATTCTCAAGTCACTTTCGCAGAGAAACTGAAAATTAAAATAAACAATTTAAAGAAATTAAAACATTGATATCTAATTAATACTTGATCTGACAAAGTTTTCAAGGGTACCATTTTAAATCAGGCATTGCCCTCTTTGCATGAAGTGCCACTTGAAATTATCCTCACGGTCCCTTAGGATGATATCATGTTTGTTTCATAACCCTCCCCTCCCCTTCTTCCTGTAGACCCTGCATTCTATTCAATAACATTCTAACCATCCCTCTCCTCCCCTTATACCTGTGGACTCTCTATACCACAAAATTCTAACCATCCCTCCTCTTCCCCCCTTTTCCTACCTGTGGACTCTCTAGTCTGTATACAACAAAGTTCTATCCATCCCTCTCCTCCCCCCTTCTACCTGTGGACCCTCTATACCACAACATTTTAACCAACCCTCTCCTCCCCTTCTACCAGAGGACCCTCTATACCACAACATTCTAACTAACCCTCTCCTCCCCTTCTACCTGTGGACCCTCTATACCACAACATTTTAACCAACCCTCTCCTCCTCCCCTTCTACCAGAGGACCCTCTATACCACAACATTCTGACTAACCCTCTCCTCCTCCCCTTCTACCTGTGGACCCTCTATACCACAACATTCTAACCAACCCTCTCCTCCTCCCCCTTCTGCTTGTGGACCCTCTATACCACACCATTCTAACCATCTCTCTCCTCCTCCCCTTCTACCTGTGGACCCTCTATACCACAACATTCTAACCATCCCTCCTGTATCCAGTCAATTAGATTCTGCTGGTCTGGATCGTCTCTAAAAAATCAAGAAATTGAACCAAATAAAAATTAAGATTTTAATAGTTATATAAATAAATGTATTAAATAAAGTGCTTAAACTAGCCAAACAATGAAAAGGTTAGAAATGAATGCGGCTATAAGAGGAACAATAATTAACCCTTATGGTTTGATAGTTCCAAGTGATTCTTACCTATAATGAACAATAAAAGCTTGGAATCCATTGGTAGCCTGTGCCTTGATCCAATCCTTAATATATTATTCATTTGCTTCCTTCCCATCAACAAGTAAAAAATTTAGAAAGAAAAATTGTCAAATTAAAAGGTGTAAACTTTTGATATTTTAACAGAATTTCTCACAAAAAAAGTATAGTTTGAAATAACTAAGGTCTACGACATTGGGTTGCTATAATATAAGGATTATAATATTAGAGTTTGTGGCAAAGACTCAATTTATTTGAATGGAGGCCAGGACATTTAATCATTAACTAATCTTTGTTTCTGTAGTCAGACGGATCATGTTAATTCAACAGCCACAAGAAATCTACTGTCGATCAATGAGAGATCTTGAACATTTGAATCAGTTGTTTTTAAAGGATTAATGACTTAATCGCTTCAAATGATGTTTAAATCAGAATTGTTTATCTGACCTTGAATATAAATCCTAGAATTCCACAGGTCATCTCAAGCAGTAGAAGGATAGCAAGAAATATTGCGTAGGCAGCTAATAGAGCAGTATTTTCTCTCAGAGCTCCAACACATCCTATATAATATATAGAATAGTAGTAATATAGAGTAGGCAGCAAGTAGAGAGGTATTTTCTCGCAGAGCTCCAAAACATTCTAGTGTAAAGTAGTAATAATAGAGTAGGCAGCTAGTAGAGCAGTATTTTCTCTCAGAACTCCAATACAACCTAGTATAGAGCAGTAGTAATATAGAGTAGTAATAATACAGAAAAGGCAGCTAGTAGAGCAGTATTCTCTCTCAGAACTCCGACACATCCTAGTATAGAGTAGTAATAATATAAAGTGAGTAGGCAGGTGAGTAGAGAAATATTTTCTCTAAGAGCTTCGACACAACCTAGTAAGGAGTAGTTATATTTAAAATTCAGTGATGGTGATGGAACAAACCTCTGTAGAGTAAAAAAGTAGATCCACATTTATTGAAAATATATTTCGGTCTGGGTTGACCCTCGTCAGTTCTAACGATATAATAACCATCGAAATCGATAAAAAAATAAAAAAATGTAAAAATCACAAGAAGATAAACAAACAAAAAGATTATTCAAAATAAAAATTTGGGCTGTCAAATGGACATAAGGGAAAAGAACTCAGATTATGAGATGGAAAAAAAGTTATTTAGATTCTCGTACTTCAAGTAAACTTCTTCCGTGGTCCCGTGAGTAGTTATAATATTGAGTAGTAAAAATAAAGAGTAGTAATAATATAGAGTAACGATATAGAGTAGTAATAATATAGTGTAGTTATAATATAGAGTAAGCCAGAAGCCTGGATACCTATAAACCCAATAAATAAACCGAGATCTCTGTAAACCCAATAATAAACCTATATACCTGTAAACCCAATAATAAACCTGGATACCTGTAAACAAAATAAATAAACCTGTAAACCCAATAATTAACCTGGATACTTGTGAACCCAATAATAAACCTGGATACCTCTTAGCACAAAAATAAACCGGTGACCGAATTTAAAGAATTTGAGCGGCGGTTTAAATTTAAGCCGCGGTTTAAATATGGTTTGGTTTTACTTAAAATTGTATCAAATGTTTCAAGATTTAAGTCGGCGCTTTATTTAAACCGGGTTTTGGTGGATTTAAACCGCGGCTTAAATTCTTTAAATTCCATCTCTGGATACCTGTAAACCAAATAATAAACCAGGATACCTGTAAATCTAATAATAAACCTGGATACCTGTCAACACAAAAAATAATAAACCTAAATATCTGCAAACCCAATGATAAACATAGATATCTGTAAACCCAATGATAAATCTAGATATCTGTAAACCTAATAAATAATAGATCTGAGGCCGAATTTAAAGAATTTGAGCCGCGGTTTTAATTTAAGCCGCGGCTCAAATACGGTTGGTTCTACTTAAAATCGTATTTATTGTTTCAAGATTTATGCCGGCGCTCAATTGAAACCGGTTTTTGGTGGATTTAGGACGCGGCTCAAATTCATTAAATTCGGACACTGGATACCTGTAAACAAAATAAATAAACCTGGATACCTGTAAGCTTCATAATAAACCTGGATATCTGTTAACCCAATAAATAAACCTGTATACCTGTTAACCCAATAATAAACCTGAATACCTGTAAACCCAATAAATAACCAGGATACCTGTACACCTAAGAAATAAACCTGGATACCTGTAAACCCAATAAATAACCTGGATATCTGTACACCTAAGAAATAAACCTGGATACCTGTAAACCCAATGATAAATGTGACGGCTCCTGCCCAAATGAATATAAAAGCTGGGTCCAAGGCTATGTTAGTCAACCTTATAAATAATAACATTATATTAAAAGTCAAACTTGATTTATTCGTTTTTTATAAATTTTAATCTTCATGGGTGGTATAAATTTTATTAAAAAAATCTGCAACCCCCAAAATTTTCCCCCAACACCCAGTTTATCAGGAAAGTAATATTTGTTTGCGCTGAATTGTGTTTGATTAACGAATCATCAGAAAAAGTTAATGATTTGTAAGGAAAATAGTATCAAAATGGAGGGAAAGCTGCCAGTTGCTGTCGTATTTTTCATTTCCTTACCCCCCCCCCAAAAAAAAAAACTTTGAAATAATTTCTTTTAGAACAAAATTGTTTTTTTTTCTTACTTGGAGAGATTATTAAAAGTATCTTTTTCAGTCCAAGCCCAAACTCCTATTGCAAGAATTCCAAGACCGAGCAGCTAAAAATAATTTATTAGAAAAATATCAATAAACCTGAAAAATATTTGTTAGTCTAGCAAAGCATTAGTGGACAACCCACTTTGATTTGACTCTACATTCTTGAATGATACAACAAATCAAATGTCCTAAAAGGGACTGTAAACACAATATTTCCTTGCATCCTTACACCCTTTGAACGAAATCGGGTGAAATAGTCATTGGAAAAATGTTAAATTCTGCAAATTTTCTTTTTCCTTTTTGTTGCATAAATCTATTAGTCACTTCTGACAGAAGCCACAATAGAAAGTTACCAACTTTCCGAGAGGGAAAGAAGAATATCTTCCTCATTTGTGCTCAAGCAAAGGTACTGTTGTGAATTGGGAATACAGCTCTTTTAAACAAAGGTGACTTGAATTTACGTAGTGCAGGCTCGTAACTTTTACGAAACTTTCTAATATAACACCTCTTTTTTTTCATTGCAAATATTAATAAAGAAAATTCAGTCACGGATTTGCAGATTTTCTGATTTTCTATATAATAAAAGAAAAATTCATTTCCATTAATTTTTCTTTATATTAGAAATAAAATTTTAGTTTGTCTATAACATACTATAGTTTACCCAGAATATAACATTGAAGCTAAAAATAACGTATTTGAGGCAGCAGGAGACCTCGCTGCTGTCTCGTATTCGTCTCCGCCGTTTCGGCTGAGCAGCTGCTCCACCTCCTCTAGGAGCTGAAGATCCGCCTCGAGGGGCAGATGCAGATTGAGCACTCGGCATCTAAAAAAGAGTTTGTAGAAGTTGGATATTTTAATCGCAATTATAAAGTTTTATCGTCACATTTAATCACAGACGAAATATTGCATATTGTTTGAACTCTTTTTATTTTATAATTCAACAAGAACGATATTTCTATATAAAATTAAAAAAAAACAATTAACAATTAAATACCTCTAGATATAGTTTTAATCCATGTTAAGGACTCAGATCTTGATCCTGTAGATTCTGAAATAATTAAATAGGAAAACACTATGCATTATGGATTCCAAGAACATGCTTATTTAGCCACTGCGCTCTTTCCGTGGACCCATCCTAGCTGCGGCGCTCGGCCTGGAAAAGATTAACCAATTACAAAACCTAGCCATATAACCAAATATCATTAATTTTCCAAATATAAACTTAAATTAAAAATTAAACGGAGCGGAGGGGGTTGGGCCAATTATAAAACATATATTATTTGTTAATTTCCTAATATACGATTTTTGGACCCCGCCCTCCTCCTATCAATTTTGTACATGAATCTTTTATGTAAGAAATGGATATAATTGACCATGTTGCCGCAGAGCCCGGCCCCCGAGCCTGTCCTGGCCGCGGCGCTCGGCCCCCTATCCTGTGCTAGCCGCAGCGCTCGGCCCCCTAGCCTGTCCTGGCCGCAGCGCTGGTCCCAAAAAGTGTCTAACCTAACCCTAAATATACTAGTTTTGTTAAACATTGTTGAGAAAGTGGTCATGTAAAAAATTAATAGGAGGGGGGTGGGGGTGTTCAAAAAACGTATACTCGGTCACACCCTTTCATTTACACAACTTTTAAAGTTTAGAGTTCCGTCCAAATGTTAGTTAGAAGAAGGGTCTGTCCCCCAATAATAAACCTGGATACCTGTAAACAAAATAAATAAACCTGTAAACCCAATAATAAACCTGTATACCTGTTAACCCAATAATAAACCTGAATACCTGTAAACCCAATAAATAACCAGGATACCTGTACACCTAAGAAATAAACCTGTAAATGGTCATGTACAAAATTGATAGGAGGGGGGGGTCCAAAAATCGTATACTATAGGACAGAGCCAAAAATCGTTCTCTAGGAATATACCTTGGAAGAATATTCACAAAGAAATTCAGGAAAAATAAATATCTTCTGTTTTGAGTGTAGAAAGTGCAGTGTACACACACAAAACCCAGGGTTGATTAATCTCGTTGCTCGGGGAGGCTCAACTATCGGTTTTCCTGGAAAATGTAATATTTTTCACAAAATAAATAGATTTTTAAAAAGTGTAAAAACTAAGAAGTGTTATGAAATTTGCTTAAAGAAATTTGAAGAAAAAAAGTTTAGAGTACAAAATGTTCATCCCGGTTTTATTTAATGGAAAAAAGTTTGAAATGTCAAAATCCATAATGGAGCTTATTTGACTAATGCACTCTTGACAAATGGCTTTAACCAAACAAACTGGGGAAAAAAGTAAAAATAAATAACCCTAGGACATCGCGTTTACACGGATTCTTCGATATTTAAATTGCAAATTAATAAATAATAAAAGACGACATAAAATATACAGGGTGAATCAATTCATCCAAACTTTGACAGTTAAATTAAAATATCATGATGTTTTACATCAAATACAAAGAAAACCCGTTGGTGATTTGCATCATGTCCGTTTTCTTCGTACTTAAATAGTCAAATTAAAATTTAATATTAAATTTTTCCTTACAATCTTTAGAATTTAAAATGTTTTCACTGCAGAAAATCCACTGAACCAATCCGCGCCAATCAGAGAAATTTTATTTTTGTTTCAACCAACCAGAAAGAAGTCGAACATTTTTTTACCAATGACAAGGTCCGTAAAATCAAATTGACCAATGAGATATCAGTATTTCCACTTCCTTAATTTAAACATTTGCAATATGGCGGCCAACCTGTTGGAAACTTTTGTTGGGTGTGGTGAAGCACTTTATTGCTCCTACTGTGATAAATGAATATGATGGAGACCATGATTTTATTTTAAATTTAATCAATCAACATGTATAAGATTTTGACGAAACAAATTAAATTTTGGTCTTAAAGTGACAAACTGTTGGACGAGAAGATGAATGATTGATGAGTCTGCAAATTCGTTATTTCTTGATAAAAAAAATGATAACAAAATTTCTGATGAACCCTCAGGATAACTGTCATAAATGTATCAATTTAATTTCATTGTTTTTAATGGAAACCTTAGTTTACTTGAAATTCCAAGCATAATTTAGTTTTTATTTAGGACGCAGATGCAACAAATTTACGTTTTGACAATATTTACTGACGAAAGTCTTGAAACCAAGATAAAATCAATCATAATTTGAAGTGATACCATTTATAAAATTATTATATAAATCTTTATTGGATCTAAGCAATTGCAACTAGTAATAAAACAAATGGGGAGGGGTCCAAAAATCGTATACTAGGAAATTACCCAGAAATTTTTTTTGTGTTTTGATGTATGATGAATAAGTATAAGTTTACACATTTTCAAGTGTTTTAACTTTTAGTAAAGTCGGCATTTAACAAAAGGGAATAAATTATTCAAACAAAACTAATTCACGTATCAGTGACAAACAAAATCAAAAAGCATTAAATTAAACTAATAAATATCCATTCATGAAATAATTAATGATCTTGGTTTTGGTTAAATTCGCGGCCGATGCTATGGATGTTTACCTATAGTAAACTTACCTAAAGGATATCCGAACTAATTGTCTAGCTTGTCTAGAAGTATTTCTAACTTCCACACGATTCGAAGTGAAGTTGACTCGATCCCCATTTTTGTTAGTCTAACCCCGATTTAACTCGTCTACTAAGCTTAATTCAGCCTAATCTATTTTTAGTTTTTAAAATGTCAGATAAATCTAAGGTTAGTTTACTATATAGGTAGATGAGTAGGTACCTTTCGTTTGAAAATAATTTATATAATTAATAATGATATATATTCAGTAGTAAGATATTTAAATTTTTTCAGACAGTTTTTCATCAATAGATAATGGAATCTACATTCAAGAGATAGTTAAGATGAACTTAGATTTGCAGTTTGCGCACAGACAGGACTCCGGTAAAAATTCAAAAGTTTAAATTCCTGAACCCCCCCTCTTGAAAATAAATATCCTCCCTCCCCCGATGTCAAGTGTTTTAAATATTGGTTATTAAAAAGGAGGGAAAACCTTCCTCCCCCATCGGTTCTAGAAATGTATACCCCTTAAGTACAGTATTTAAATTTTTTTATCTATTACAAAGTATTAATTGACTTTTAATTTCAAATCGGATTACTTTAATATTATTAATTTATTAATTACTTTACATCAAATTATTCTAAAATATCTGTTTTCAAAATAAGTAAATGTAGATCTTGTTGATTGCAAGTTTGGATTTAAAATTCGGTGATGGTGATGGACCAAACCTCTGTAGGGTAAAAAAGTAGATGTAGGTTCCACATTTATTGAAAATATATTTCGGTTTGGGTTGACCCTCGTCAGTTCTAACGATAAAATAACCATCAAAATCGGTAAAAAAATTAAATTTTTTTTTGTTAAAATCCACAAGAAAATAAGGAAACAAAAAAGATTATTCAAAATAAAAATTTGGGCTGTCAAATGGACATAAGGGAAACGAACTCAGATAATGAGATGGAAAAAAAATAATTTGCAAATATTCACTTTAAAAAGAAATGTTTTAAGACAATTATTATTCCTTCAGATTGTTTCTGTCACAAAGGTTAAAAACCAGTGCTTAGGATCCATTTAATTTTGATGCGGATCCGGATCCTGGATCCGCACTGGAAAAACATGGATCCGGATCCAGGTGATTTCTTTAAGATTTAATGATTTTTTTTTAATAAAAAATTATTTTCAATTTTTTTGTTTTATTTTTTCCGCTTATGTTTATCATAAAACTTGAACCATTCAGAAATGAGGAAATTTTTACAATCTCTCTTTTTTTAAAAGTTCAGATTTGGGTTTTAGGAGTAAAAGTTTTTTTTTCAGTTTTAGGTTGATATTTTACCCCTTGGTTCCGGATCCGTGGATCCGCATATTTTTGCGGATCCGGATCCAGGAAGCCAAAATCTTGCGGATTCAACGGATCCGGATCCTAAGCACTATTAAAAACAAACTGTTTAGATGTATGTATATAAAGTGATGGTGGGGGTCGAACTAATTAAAGAAGTTTGGATACAAAGTCTATTCTAATTCATAATAAACGTGTTTAACCTGGGCTTTTTCATTAGATAGCTCCTGGTGTCCTGTTTGTCAGAAGAAGTTTCAGGAAATAAAACAACTCAAACTACATTTACTTTATTCACACAGGTGAAAGGCTCTTATAATTTTCACACATTACGCATTATGTTTTTCATATTATAACGTTATATAATACAGTATACACATATGTAAATGTTAAAAAGAGGGCATTTAAAGCTAGCCTATGGGGGAGCACTATGCACAAGGTGTTCCTTCTATTTATAGAGGGGCATGTCCAGCTCACAACGTTACACTACTAACCTTTAAGAAAGTCATTAAAATGAAAGATATAGTCGTTTTTTTCTAGCTTTCTCCATTGTTTCTGTAAGTCAATCTGCGCTTAAGCCACACCATTTTTATTAAGATGAAGTATTTATGACATCCTTGCGAATCGGACATGACATTGTCTTCAGTCCCTTTCCGAAGTAATACGTCTTTTTTTAGAAAAAAGATTTTCTGTTTCTACTGTTTGGAGAAGAAAGGCTGGTCGGACGAATTTATAAAACAGAAAAACTATCATGAACACTTTGAGCTGGTGCACCAGGATGTTCCACAGATCAGAAAACTTAGAGACAATCAGATCAGATCTGATAGAACCAGAAACAAAACTGAGAATAATTTTGATACAAAGTTAAAGAAAGGTACGAGTCGTAATGTTTTTTTTGTATGTTGTGTAGCGTTAGAAAGATTTTGGTCTTTTAGTGCAAGGGGCTGTAAGCGTAATTTCTTGTGACCCTCCATGCAAAGAGAAGAGGGAAATGCCCGATTCACAACGATACCCTGAAAACCTTTGACTGTTCATCGAGTAGTGAGATCTTTCTGTTTAAACATATCGAAACCCACTTGAATTCCTCGCGACTGTTAGCTAACGGCTAATCTGTTACTTGCGTAACTGGAAATTAGATAGACTTCTATACGTTATCAGCGTATTTAAGTAAACTTTTATTGATGTTTCTTAAATAGATAACAGCTTGAAAACTAAGTATTTATCAATTAAAAACGTTTCAGTAGATGAATAGGGATATGTCTGACATCAGTCAAAGGGTTAAAGGGTACCTTTGTTAATCGGGGATGCTCCTCTTTAAATAGAAGGTCTTAAAATTTTGCTTACAGTCCTTTTAAGAAACCATTTTTTTTTTCTCGAAAGCTCTTAAAATTATTCCTCTTCAGGAGATTTAAGTAGACACACTGCAACATCGTTCAATACGCCAATGCAAACATTTAATTACTAAATGTTATTAAAAAGAAGAATGTGTTAGATAAATTTTGAAAATTCACTTCAAGGCAAATTCTTCAAAGTCAACTTCGATTTGTTATTTTAAATATGAATAGGATTTAATTATTTCAGTTGCTAAGAAAGAACACCCTAACTGCTGCTCATACTGTCCAGATTTGCAGCCATTCAGGTTATTATTATTTTGCAATTCATGTTTTTCAGGAGTTTAAGAAGAATTTGGTTTATCCGAAAATATTGATTTGATTTTGTTCCTTCAAAGTGAAATCATCCACGAAAATTCGGCGCTTCGTGCAAATATTTGCAAAAATTTTATTTTTCAATTATCAAGTTTTTCAATAGATATTGACTATTTAATTACTTGTATCACTTATATCACTTTTACCGTTTATATCATTACAAAAGAAAAAATCGTTCAGTTTCATCGAAAAATACTTTTTAGATATGCATGGGACAGAGATCGGCACTTGGTGGAGGAGCATCTGTATGATATTTGTACCCATTGTAAACTCATTGGTGAGAAGAGAAATTTAGAGAATTTTACTAAATCCAGTGCTTAGGATATATTAAATTTTGATGCGGATCCGGATCCTGAATATGCGTTGGAAAAAATGGACCCGGGTCCTGGCCATTAACATTTCTTTAAGTTTATTAATTTTTTATACCAAAGCAGAATTGTCAAATTATCTTTCTTCTTTTTTTTGCTTATTTTTATGCAAAAACGCGATGAATCATTCAGCGATCAGGAAATTTTCATAATCTCTCTTTTTTAAACAGTTCAGTTGATATTTTATCCGGATACAGGAAGCCAAAATCTTGCGGATCCAACGGATTTAGGATAAATCTGTAGTTTTGGAATTTTGACGTTTATACCGCAAACAAGTTATCAATAAATGTTATATAGGTATAGGGATTTCGAATATTTCTGTTTTATAATTCTAATGATTTTTTTAATATTCAAGAGTAAAATGCAAGATAAGATTTGTTCTAGTGAGAAATATTAATAAAGATGACTTGTGAAAGAGTGACAACGGATATTAGCTAAAGTTTAGAATATTAATAATCAAGATCTGGAATAGAAATTCTTACTATAAGGCAGATCAAATGTTGGTCCTAGCCATTGCCTATCCGCAAAAATGTGCGGATCCACGGATCCGGATCCAAAGAGCAAAATATCAACAAAAAGCAAACACAAATCTTTTGCTCTCAAAACCGAAATTTAAACTGAAAAAGAGAAATTATAAAAATTCCTTGTCTCTTAATGGTTCATTAAGTTTAAGCATAAAAATAGCAAAAAAAAAAGAAGCAAACTGATTTTAAAATTCTTCTGTTTAAAAATCAGTAAGTCTTCATGACCTGGATCCGGATCTGCTTCAAAATTAAATGGATACAAAGCACTCTGTTCCAAACCACATAAAAGTTCACACATTTTAAAAATAATTGTTTGTTCTAGGACCTGGTGTAGATGTGAGCCTGCATATATTGTTGCATCATGCTGAATCTATCTGCTATATTTGCAGATCTATTTCCCCTCTGTATAGACCAGCTGATAAACTCTACACTCATCTCCTTAATTCTCATCAAGTCAGGTAGGGTTTAGTACATCAATCACTCAACCAATCAAAGAGACAGACAATCCCTCAACCCCCCCCCCGAGGGAAGATTAACACCTTCCCCAATCCCCACCCCCTCCGTAAAACTACAAAAATTATTTTGTTCCGTACAACTAGAAGGCGTTTACAGAATCTAGAATTAATTCTCCCTTTTTAATGTGAAATAAACTTTAAACTCTCTTAGATAGCTGTGTGTACTTAATCGAGTATTCGACCTGTTTTTTTCGTAAATTTTCTCCCCTCTTCTTTTTCGCGCAGATCGACGACTTACAGATCAACATTAAGGACTGGGATTAATTCTCTGAGTTCCAAAAGTACAGAACTGGTGAAGGAAAACTTTTTTCATCTTTGGATGTTTATACACTGAAAATATTCATGATTAGGAAAATACAATTATTAAATTATAACTATTTACATATAAAATTAGAACAAAATAAGTATTGAGATACATACAAATGATGCTCAGGAGTACAAATATATCCTTCATGTACTGATATTCTATAGACTGATAAGTTTTAAGGATGGAAGTGTAGTACGCCGGTGTTTTGTAAAAAAACCGGAAAATATAGCATACAGCAAATCAAGGAACTAGGGATGTTTAATGTTTTTCGATTAATTCATTAAAGGAAAAAGGGGCGTTCAATGTTTTACGACTAATTCATGAAACCATACTAGATCGGGATGAAAGCTCTGGAAACACTCTGGGCCATAAATCTACAATTAATGAAAATAAAATATCGCAAAAAAGCTTTAAAAAGAAAAACAGGATCATTCCTATAACTTGTGCTCAAATAAAGGTTTAAAGGGTACCTTTGTGAATCGGACAAACAACAAATGAAAGGAACTTTTATGGATTTTAAAACATTAAAAAAGTAGTTGTGGTGTTTTTAGTATTTTTTGTTAATATTCCTAATTATTAGGGTTCCTCTTTTATGATCAAAATCTCTAATTAAGATTAAATATGGTTTGTCCAAGAACAATCAAATATTCTTAACAGAACTAATTTAATTAGAATTCAGTTTCGATTTAATATTTTATATTTATCAGGACTGGAGCATTGTACTGTCCTGTTTGTCCTGATAGTTCATTCCCTTCAGTAGACCTTACTTCTCATTTAATACAGGTCAATCTTTTTTTTAATGATTTATGAGATGGAAACTTATAAATGACCAACAAATGAAGAGCCAGGAGCTGCCGACCATTGTAGTGTTGAAAGGGCTGTCCTACTAGGACTCCTACTGGAGTCCTAGTAGCTGTTAACATTTGGTAATAGTTAGTAATCTCCTTATTCAACCTTGCTTGATTGATTTATTGACTTATTACTTGACTAATTGATTCGTTACTTGATTAATGAACTTTTACTTTATTAATTGATTTATTACGTAAATAGTTTACTTATTACGTTATTAACTTTTACTTTATTAATTGATTTATTACGTAATTAGTTTATTTATTACATTATTAAATAATTTATTACTGAATTAATTGATTTATTACATGACCAAATGATTTTTTACTTGTTTAATTTATTTATTACTTCATAAATTGATTTATTATTTGACTAATTGATTTTATACTTGATTTTATACTTATATAAATTGATTACTTGATGAATTGATTGAGTAATGGTCAGATTGATTGATTGATTACTAGTTAGATTAATTGATTAATACACAGGAGCATGGATGTTCTGAGTTAAAACTGCGAGCACTGAAGAGAAATGTAAAATCAAGAGCGAATATGATTCGGCCAAATAACAATATGCTAATCAAGTTCAAAGGTATGAAGAAAGAGAACAAAAAATAAATACTTTACAAGTTTGCATTTATTTCTTCTACATAATAAAGCTCTTTTCTCAGTGCTTACGTATATTGGTTCCAATCTTCCAATTATTTTTGCTGCACGCCTCTAATGACATCATATGACCTTGACAAATAGAAGTTTTAAACTCTGGCTTAATGCATATTAAACGAAAGCTAGGAACCAAGGGAATACAGTAGTAGCAACGTATTTAGTGTTTGACCTTCTTATGACCTCGTGAGCTTTTATGACCTCTGACGTCCTCGAGCGACCTATAATGACCTCCAAAATGAAAATGTTTTTACTAAAGCTCTATGCATATCAAACAAACGCTTGGAATTAAGGGAATACAGAAGCAGCAACGAATCTCCGCAATCCCCTTCTGAAAAAAAAAATTATTTTTAAATTGTTTAGCTGTGGATATGTGTTTCAGCCTCGTGAATTCTTAAACAACGTTCAAGCGTTTAGAATTCAAGAATTCCCTTTCAGTCTAGCAAGTTTACTTAGGTATTTTTTTATAAAAATAAAATTATGAAATATTTAGAAGTTTTTTTTATCTTATAAATAAAAAATACTTTTGATGGATTTGTTTTCTTTTATAATTTTCTTGCTTGTTTTGCAGGTAAGCATTGAACTATGGAATAACCTGCAATCTTTCTTTACATATTAAAGATAAATATTCTTCAAAATAATTTCGCTGATTATTGTTCGTTTGTTTGATGTATTTTAAAATTTTGTGTCTAATAACTTACGAAAAGATTGATCGGTTAAGTCGTTTTGTTAACTATATCCTTATTTGCCCGTGGAATAAATTATTATTTAATTCAGGCTATTCTTGGACGAGTCCATCTTGTCACACGTTCACAACCCCGAGGGAAGGAAGGTGGGAGACCTGGTCACGTCCAAATTATCCTGGAAGTATAATTGCTCATCATGCAACCAGTTTTCCCACGTCAGGTGAAATAATATAATACAGACGTAAACTTGAGGTTTCTGTTGTTTATTGTCATNGAGGGGAGGGACATGGTTTGTTTTATTAAAGCAATATTTGATTTTCTTTCAAAGAGCGAGTATTTTGATCTCTACTAATCTAACTTATATTTGCCGTTTTTATACTGAGAAAACGAAATATACCATTTTCCACTTGGAATATCAAAGTAAGACCTTAAGTCGTTCAATTATATTTAATTAAAATTGATTTAAATTCTGGTTCAGTCATATCCCATTTAAATTTTAACGAACCTTGTTTTATTTTTAGAGCTGCAGAAACGGTAATATCTCTTCAGGCTTACACAGACAAGCCGTTTACGCAACATTTTCAAGGAAAACAAACCTAGAATTTTTTTCCATTTACGGATCCGGATCCCATGTACATTGTACACCAAAATAAAAAAAGTTCACTACTAACAAAATGTAAATTAATTAAATCGAAAAGTTTGGTAAAAATTTAGATAATTTGTGGGAAATTACTCTAGAGATTAACCGCCATTTTAACTAAAGAAAGCTCTCTAATTTCAATTTGCATCTTTCTTCTAAAGAATTCAAACTCGGGAGTTAGAAATCGCTAAAGATGAAATCCTCAAGCAATTTTCTTTGATTTTCCGGTCGCTCTAGGGTCTCTAGGGTCTAGCCTTAATATTCTAAAAATGTATTATATTTCTGTACAGTTCCAATTTGTATTTATCTTTGAGTGTGAAAATGGACAATTTATTTCCATTGTATTGTAAGATTGTTGATGCTGAACACACTCGGGAGAATCGAGGCAATTCTAATTTTACTCCAGATTCATCCGTACTCCCTTGTACTCCCTTGAACAATTGTACATGCAGATACTTCGTTTTTTCTGAAGAAATATTTTTATTTGACGTCCCTGCCAAATACATATTTTGTAAAAAATGAGAAAAAAAATCATTACTGTTTTTTCCCCACCTTCTGTTTTTTTAATGGGTGAGAGGAAAACATTTTTTGTTGTTGTTGGAATAACCTTACAAATATTTATGATATTTTAAAATGTAAGAGTACCATATAAGTCGGACTCGCCACTCAAAATATGAAGAGTCGTTTAAAATTACCATTTTTTAAAAAAAATATGTTTGTTTTGTAGGTTTACGAAACGATGATAACGTCCATTGTCACGTGATAACTGTACTTTTACTGCTGGCCCACACACCGTTGTTTAATTGTCCTGCCCCGCCCGTGCATGAAGATGAAAGTTGTACTGAACATGGATCCTGTGTACTGCAGACTCTTCTGGAGAAATACAACAGGTCTGCGATTTACCTAAAAATATTTTAAAGCTTTTAAAGAAAATGTTTACGAATAAATGGGCAATAGGCTGAATCAGATTTTAATTCGGTATAGTCACAGATAAGGCTTTAGATACAGGTTTCGGTAGTTGGAACTTCACGGCTTCGGCTACTGCCACTCGGGCATAACATGTCATGCTAACTCGTGATCCATACACTCCAAAAGGGGGCTCTGGGTGGCAGGGAGGGGTTGGTTACCTGATAACACTTGTGTTATTGTGGAGTCATAATAGAAAGATAGATAAATAAATGCAGAATTTACGCGTCCGGGCGTCAGACAAGTATTTACGTGCCGCAACGTTCATGTAAAATAGCACAATGGGCTTAAAGAACGAAAATAGTTGGGGCGGGACGGTGCTTATTGCGCCTTGGCGGTCCACACTCCACATTGGGGCCTCTTGCAGATTTAACTTCCTTATGAATCCTTATGAATGACCTATTGAGATGGCCTATTTGATGAGAGGGGGGGGGGGGGGGTTTC